AGGTTTTAGTGGCTTTTCGGAAGGCCGAGAGAGTGGGAAGGGTCCGGATCTCTGCGGGTAGATCGTTCCACAAGGCCAGAGCATCTACAGAGAAGGCCCTCCCCCGGGGGGGTCGTCAGCCGGCATTGCCCGGTCGACGGTACCTGGAGGAGGCCCAACCTATAAGATCTTATTGGCCGTTGAGAGGTGTGTGGCAGGAGGCGGTCTCGCAGATAGGAAAAAGCAGATGACTAGAGACAGAGAAGAGAAATAATCTAATGGACCAGAAGGACAGAAAGAATTATACACAATGAGCTACCAAAACTCATTAACCAAAGTTCATATAAAGATTTTAAATCTTTGGTTGCAAACTGCTATTATACTTCTAAAGCAACTGCAGAGCCAGATCATAGATTAAAAACCACATGTATTAAAATTATAAAGCTCTTACCCATTTTTAAAGCATGGAAGATATCAGGTTGTTTTTTCTGTTTATCTAGTGAAAGAGGAAACAGATATGTGTATATCATATAGGTGTTACTTATGGTAACACTACAGAAAGTACATTAGTACCAGAATTTTAAATAAACTGATTTACTCAACAATTTGCATTTCAACTTCTCAATTCTGAAAGGCAAAAGCAAAGAAAACATTGAGTAGTATAATATGAAGATGCTTATTCCCAAGGACTGTCAAAGATACTGCAGTCCATTTCTTTCCCTCTTGGTCTCTTAAGATAGCAGTTGTTGGTTTTGTGAAAAGAATGTACTATAGTGTTCTTTCTTTAAACGGAAAGAATACTGAGTTTCTCTTAGCATGCAATGTTAAAAACCTTTAGCAATTTTTAAAAAATCAGGTATATTTCTCCATTAATTTTTTAAAACTTAACAGCCGTGTGAAATAACATTACATTCATTTAGAAATCATATTTGTCAGGTCACCCGACTCCAAATACTCTGGTAAGCAAAGAACAAAAATCAAGAATGAAAAGAATTTATCAAGAAAAGCAAAATGGTTCACCTAAAGGGAACAATACCCAGTCTCAAACACACACCTTCCCAAATAAGTCCACCACTCATCCTAATCCATGGCCTGGAGGAAGGACTACTGTAAGTCTCCAAGACTCTCTTGAAGGAGATGAGGTAGGTTATTACCTCCTTACCCATGGTTCACCGACAAATGCGTGCCCAACAAATGCGCGCCGACAAAACTGCCGCGACAAAATGGCGACGTTGAAAGCGCGCCCACTAAAGCGTGTCGACAAATGCGTGCCGACAAAAGCGCGCCATCGAAAACAACGCAAAAACAACAGTAGCAACGTTAATAACCCTAACCCTAACCCTTACCCTAACCCTAACCCTTAGCTAAAAACCCTAATCGCGCTTTTGTGGGAACGGTTTCGTGGGCGCACTTTAGGGGCCGCGCTTTCAACGTTGCCGTTTTGTCGGCGCGGTTTTGTCGACGCGCATTTGTCGGGCGCGCATTTGTCGGGCCACGCTTACCCATTAGGTGCTTAGAACACAGGAAGGCAAGGCAAACTATTGATTTATTATTTATTATGACTGGCAGTCCATAATTTCAATCTTCTCTAGTCCAACTGAAATACGAAAGATTGGATCTCCAATTTTTGTAAATGTTCTGTAATAGTATAACATCCCTCCTTTTCTCAATTTTAATTACATTTCCATTTATTGTTGTCATCAAAGTCTTAACATTTTAAAGTAAGCAATGTTATCTCAGGCTAGTACTGATAAGGGAGACTACCAAAACGATATGGTGTTAGATTAGTTTGGATATACAGAAACCCAGGGCCAGATGAACCAGAGAGAGTCCATGCTTGAATAGTAAGCCTCTTTACAGGTGTCCCAGGAATAATCTTTGCTAGTAATA